GCACTCTCTCTCTTAACTTCATCTAAATCATTTTTTTAGAAAGAGATTCATTAATCGGGAAAAATTTTCTGTTCATTTTAGACGTAGCTCTACGTGCGGACTACAGTAATATACTGTCATGTGTGTTATATCAGACTTACCTAATAAAAATATTAAAGTGGAACCATGAATGTTATTGGAGTGGAACTGCGAATCTTATTTTGAGGGTTATTGAGGTATTAACTCAAATAACACCGCAATAACCCGTCAATAATCCCCTAATAACCTCCGTTGTTCCACTCCAATAACCCCCTACAATAACCGCCTCAATAACCCCCCATTAACCCCCCAAATAACCCCTAATAACCTTCGTGGTTCCACTTCAATAACTCCCTCCAATAATCTCACCAATAACCCTTAATAACATCTTCGGTTCTATTTCAATAACCCTCTGCAGTAGCCCACGCAATAACCCTATAATAACCCCCAATAATCTCTGTGGTTTCACTTCAATAACCCCTGTATTAACCCCTGCAATAACCCCCTAATAATCCCTTAAAAACCCCCTAATAACCTCTGCAGTTTCACTTCAATAACTCCCAAATAACCTCCATAGTTTTATTGTCGGAGTCTGCGTGTAGAGCTATATCCAAAATCCAGACATAAATTTTTTCCCATTAATCTATCCATATGTAATATTGAAGTGCAAGAAGAGAAGAAAAAAATCAAAAACAAGAACACAGGAATTTATGAAGTTCGGTAATGCGCATACGTCCTCGGGAGCAGAGTGTCGATTTCACTATTTCAAAAAGATTCAGTACATACCCATAGGGTTACACTCATAATATATATAGATAAAACCTACAAATAAAAAAATAAAAATGCCCCCATGTCCCCAACCTACTTAACTCCAAGAGACACGTCTCTTCTTTCCAAGAAAGACACATTTTCACTTCAAGAGACACATCTCTTCACTCCAAGCGACATGTCTTTTCACTCCAAGAGACACATCTCCTCTTTCCAAGAGACACATCTCTTCGCTCTAAGACACACATCTCTTCTTTCCAAGAGACACATCTCTTCACTCCAAGAGTCAAGATTCATTGCATTTTCTGGTATATGAGTCATATCTAACAAATCTCCACCTTAGGGAATTTTCAGCCCTATAGGAGAAAGATACGTTAGAGGTTCTCATACACCAAAGTGGGTTGGGCTACCATTTTCTCTAGCAACTGCAAACATTCAACAAGTTCAAGCAATGCAAGAGCTTGGTGATAGTAACTGGTTTGGTCAACATATGAGCTGCATTTTCATCAGTATGAACATTTTGCAACAAAATATCACCAGATGCAATCGATTCTCTGATCGCGTGATACCTTGCATCAATATGATTAGTTCTATACCTGATTTTTAGCCACACAAATGACACTCTGACTGTCACAATGCAACTGAACTCCACCTTGCTCAACACGCAGTTCCTTTACTAGCCTAGCAAGCCATAATTTTTTATTATCATCATATGATTCAACAGAGTGAACTCCACCTACAACTGTACACCCCAACAACTTATAGATATTACCTACAGTGATCTTTACTTTCATCACAGTCAATGCACCTTTAACAAATTGATGGTTTCTCTATCCTCATCTGCCTTGGGAATAAAACCATTTTTGTATAAAGTGCTCAAGGAAATTAAATTCTTCTTCAAATCTAGAATTTGTCTTACATCACATGATATTCTGATAGTGTCATCATACATCTTAATTCTGACTTCACCAATACCAGCAATATTGCAACATCTATCATCACCCAAAAAGATTAAACCAGAATCAGATAACATGTATAAAGTATACCACTCCATGTTAGGTGTTATGCGATAAGAAGATCCTGAATTAAGAATTCATGCATCCTTTAATTGAGTTGTTGTAACTGAAAGCATATCACCATCACTGCAATCTGAATTGTCACTCTGCAACACATTCACAGACTTGGAAGATACATCACGTTTCTCATCAGTCTGGCTTTGAGTTTTGGACAATCTCTCTTCATATAGCCTGACTCCTTACACTTGTAGCAACGAACCGCCTTTCTGCCTTTAAACTTTGATCTGGAATTTTGCCTTCCAAAACTCTCCTTCTCTTTCTTCCTTCCACTATCATGATTACCCTTAACATATAGACTATCACCATGAGGGCTTTCCCCTGCATTCTATTTCCTCTGGTTGTGAGCCAACAATGTTGCAGTAATCTCATCAATTTTGATTGTTTATTTCCCATATATAAGAGTAATCACCAGGTGTTCATAAGAAGAAGACAATCAAGACAACAAAATCATTACTTGGTCTTCATTCTCAATACTCACATCAATTTGTGTCAGATCTGTGATTATTTGATTGAAGACATTCAAGTGTTGCGTCAGATCAGTGTCTGCCTGCATCTTCAGTCCATACAGCCTTTGCTTCAGATACAGTTTATTTGTTAGAGATTTGGACATAAACTGAGTTTCAAATTTCTTACATATTTCTCCTAGAGATTTTAGATTCATAACATGATATATAATCTCATATGTCAGACATAAATGTATGGTACCTGACGCTCGTTGTTGCAATTCTTCTCAATCTTCATCTTCCATATTATCAGGCTTCGTTGCTCGCAAGGCCTTAAGAATTCCTTGTTGTGCCAACAAATCTTTCACTCTTGTTTGCCACAATCTGAAGTTCTCAGCTTCATCATACTTCACCACTTGAAATTTTGTACCAAACATTACCATTGAAAATTACTCATGCTGCAAACTTCTAGAAGCTTCGCTGAAGCCAAAATTCCCAAACTGCTGCAATTTTGAGAATAAGAATAGGAAGTCACGAATTACTTGTCGTATTGCGATTCACGATTCATAAAGATTGCCTTCCAAAATTGTGTTCCTTCTTATTGTCGAACCGTCCAAAATCCTTTGTCGAACACCTCTACGTCGCTGCTTGGTCTGAATTGTAGCGAACCTTCTCGTCGAACTCCTCGAAGAACGCTCCCCAACTCCTCTGCAAACTACCTTGCTGAAACTTCTGCAAATCACCAGTCTTCTTCTTCCTCTAAAATCTCCAACGTGGCTCTGATACCAATTGAAGTGCATGAATAGAATAAAAAAATAAAAAAAAAACAAGAACACAACAATTTACGAGGTTCGGCAATGTGCCTACGTCCTCGGAAGCAGAACGACGATTTCACTATTTCAGAAAGATTCAGTATATACCCATAGGGTTACACTCAGAATATATATATAGATAAAACTCACAAATAAAAAAAAAAACTTCCCCGCACCCCCAACCCACTTAACTCCAAGATACATCTCTTCTCTCCAAGAGACATATCTTCTTTCCAAGAGACACACCTCTTCGCTCCAAGAGACACGTCTCTTATTCTAAGAGACATCTCTTCACTCCAAGAGATACATCTCTTCTTTTCAAGAGACAAATCTCTTCACTCCAAAAGTCTAGATTCATTGCATTTTCTGGTATTTGAGCCATATCTAACAAATATCAACGTAATTTATTTAAATAATTGCTTCCATTAAATATTTTTATAGAACAAATAATATAAATTTATTTATCAACAAGAATTAATTTCAAAACTCCAAAATAAGATTAATATTGCTTAAAAATAATCTTCAACAATTTCAATTACTCAATATTTCAGGTATTGTAAGCATGATAGTTGCATATAAGCCATAACATTTATTTTATTTTTATTTAATCTATCATTGAACTATTTTTCTCATATTTATGCCAATTTAAGAAGGTCGATTGTGTTTAAGAAAATAAGTCATAATTAATTTATCAATCTATTAATTATTATAAAATTACAATATAGCTTAAGAATGTAATGCAAATTAAGAAAAATTATACCAAACTTCTATATTATTTACACTTTATGCATTTATACTTCCCAGTAATTAATACAAAGTTTGGTGCTTACCACTAACCAATTGCTGTTTGATAGTGTGTTATTCGTGGTGTTTATTTCCTTATATTTAATTACATAACTGGATGGCCACGCTTAGTTGAATGAGTACTTTTAACAAGAAAATGATCCATAATCCTAAAATATTATTGCGCTTAATCAATCCAAGTGCTCTCTGATCCTCCTCCAATTTGTGAAAGTTTAGTTCATATTATTCAATTATTAATCATCATTTTTTCTTAACAAACAATTGTAATTATATTTCTTGACGGCCAATATTGTTTAATGACCTATAATTTGGAACGATAAACATTTCATTAATAAGGTAATCAAGGTTTGCATTACATGCACTAAATTATGTCATGCTTCAACTTGTAAATTGAAGAAGTCTTAGGTCAGTTTGGAGGGCACTACAATTATTATGTTGAAAGCAAATCTTTTTGAAAATTATAATGAATTTTATAAGCTTTTTTCTGTTTTTGATAAAATCAGATAACTTTCTTATAACCTAAGAGATTTAGCTGTAAAAGGCTGTGACATTCCATAAAGTTTTTAAGAAAACCACCAAAATTATAGCTAAATTAAATTGTGAAAATAAAACTAGAAAAGATTGAAGCTGTTTCAGTTGTCCTAATCATTTACCAGACTACGGTTAGACTCCATGGGATGAGCATTATAAATAAAGACATTTATTTATATTTTTCTCAAACAAAAAGAAATCTTAGTTTAGTAAAAAAACCAGAGATACGATCGCCTAAAACGTACATAACCTTCTTTTTCTTTCACTAGCCCACTAAGACTATCTTAGCTTTATGAAACTAAAGCCACTTTCTCCTTCCTTGTATATATAAATTATTCTCACATGTACAAACATGACACATGAGACCCACATGAGCAAAACTCAATGCATATTTCCTTACACATATACCTTTTTTAATAGCCCAAACCCTTAAAAAAAAAAGCTCAAAAGTAACCTTTTACTTTACACATCTATTTTGCATGTGATGAGATAACACTATATATAAGTCCTCGGCCATAATGTTCAGCTATCTCCTAACTTCTATAAACATCAAGTATTGTATCATGGAAGGGAAGAAACCCTACGCTGTGATCATTTTAATCCAACTTATTTACACTGGCTTGTTTGTCATCTCTAAAGTTGCATTAGATGAAGGTCTGAGCACATTTACTTTCCTTTTTTATCGTCAGTTGACATCAACAGTATTACTTGTTCCACTGGCTATCTTTTCTGAAAGGTATAATACATTTCATTAAGTATTGTGGTTTTACTTCCTAATTATGGATTAATTGAGGGAAGTTTGTTAATGATGTTGATAATGTGTAGGAACAAGACCTATTCGTTATCATTTTGGCTGTCGGTCAAGATTTTCATGCATGCCTTGATAGGGTATGAATTATTCTTTGAAGGAATAATTATATTTATTAATAAAATTTGCATGGGAGGAAATTTGATTTATTGATTTTTTTTTTTTTTTTGGTTTTTTAGAATTACTTTCAGCTTGAACATTTATAATATTGGCCTGAAATATACTTCTGCAACGGTCGGCTCAGCAGCCACAAATTGCATTCCTGTGATCACCTTTTTTCTAGCATTGTTAATGAGGTATGTCTTTATTTAATAATTTATGTGGTGGTTAAAGATTATGTTATCTCTTTGGCAGTTTGTAACTTTTGTAGTTTATGAAAATCTAATTAGTTCGGGGACAGTGCTAATAATGATTGCATTAGTTGTAGCGGTTATGTCAAGACAAAAAATTTATATTTTTGACTGAATTATTTTTATTAAGATAACACGTATAAAATATTATTCATAATCTCTAGAGACTAAGAGTCTGTTTGGGGCAGCTGTAGCTTATTGAATAATCTGCTGATAAACTGATTAAAAATAATCTACTGATAAGCTAGGTGCGGTAGCTATTACAAATTTTTATTTTTTTGGAAAAGTCAGATAAGCTTCCACCGCACCTATATAGGTGCGGTGTGAAAAAGTTGTTTTCTGCGTTTTGAAAACGCATAAGCTGTCAAAACGCAGTTTACCCAAATAGATCAGGTGCGTTTTCAAAACGCCACCGCACCAAATAAGCTGCCCCTAACAGACCCTAAATGTTGCGGTTTGTGAATGAAAATGCCATTTTTGATATAATAAATATGTTTATTACTTTGGATGATAAATCATCCAAGAAGTAGCAAATAATTTTTATTCAGGGGAATGAGTTTCTGATTGAAATTTATTGGAAATTAATGAGGGACTATTTGAGAAAAAATTTAATTTTATTTTTTAGGTTTTTAAAAAGTTTTAATTTTTATATTTTTCCACGTATTTTTTATTTAAAAACTTTTAATTAATTAAAAATAAATTTAATTTAAGATATTTTAAATATTATTAAGAAGAATAATCACCATTAAAAACATAAAGAAAATGAAATAAAAAAAACAAACAAGAAATGACAATGATGACAAATTACCCTGAATTAAAAAATACTTACATAACATACCATTATATTCCTAAGCATTTATATATCTAACATTTAAACATTAATTTTTACAAATATATGTAAATAAATGTATATGCCACCTACATATTTATGAAAATGTGTATTTCACTTTGTAAAAGTTAAAACAGAGGTAATTTTTTATGTAAGAAGAAAGATTTGTGCGGTATAAATGTAAAAATTAAAATTTAGGTATTAGTTATGTAAATACATTAGAATTGGGTGATATCTATGTGAATGGCCCTTAAATTGAATGAGTTTTATTGCAGGCTGCACCCCTGCTCCCCTTCTATTCACATGTGATGATAATTATAAAAATAGCTCATTATAAAACTTTTGGTTCTTGTGCTTTTATTTAGGCTGCATAATAGTCTAATTCTTGTACATTTCTATGTAACTTCTTAAAACTCCTACAGTAAGAAAAATAAAGGAAGGGCAGATGAGTAAGAAATTATTGTCCATCTTCTTAAAAAGTAAGAAGATACTTATAATAAAACTTAAAGTTATATATGTAATAATTTATTTGTTTTGCTCAGTTATGAAAATGTGTCAACTTTTGTATTTTTTCAGGATGGAAACTCTGAAGCTTAGGAGAATGTTAGGGATATCAAAAATTCTAGGAATAGGAATATGCAAAGCTGGAGTTATAACTATTGCCCTATACTCTGGACCTCACCTAAATCCTTTGATCAAGTACCATCACTTCGGCCACAAAAATAATGCAAAGCACAGCTCTCTGCACTCTAAGCAGAACTGGATAACAGGAACTTTTCTCTTAATTGCAGCCAACTCGTCCTGGTCACTCTGGATGGTCCTGCAGGTAATTATGCATTATTTTAGGAAGACTTAACATCAAAATTTTCATATTTATATTAATACCATTGTACATATGCAGATATTTTTTATAAGATATGAAAGATTTCGATGTTAGAAATGCAAAAAATAAAGGTTTAAATATATAACTATTTCTTATTTGTCAAATTTATAACATAAAAATTTAATTGCAGGGGCGGTTATTGAAGGAGTTCCCTTCGAAGGTGTTGTTCACAGCGATAGAAAGTGTTTTCAGTGCTTTGCAGTCATTTATTATAGCAGCAGCATTTGAGAGAGATGTCTCTAAGTGGAAGCTGAGGATGGATATGGGATTGGTCGCCATTGCTTATTCTGTAAGAATATTTTGATGTTATGCTAAAAATGTGTATATTAATGCAAAAGATAAATTTTTTATTTAAAAAAAAAACAGTTTTTCTATGACATTTGTGTTGTAAAGTCTTCTGATGTTAATATTGTGATAAAAAATGCAGGGATTTATTGTTACAGGGGTCTCTTTCTACCTGCAGTCTTGGTGCATTGAGAAGAAAGGTCCTGTTTTTCTTGCAATGTCAACGCCGTTGAGTCTAGTTTTCACCATACTTTGCTCATTGTTCCTCTTGGGAGACGCGATTTCATTGGGAAGGTATGCATTTCATGAAAATAATATTAGGTGCTGTAAAATTACATCAGATATCACAAAAATTTAAGAGTACAACATTGCATTCGTTGTATATATTGTACATGTTCTACTCATTGTACTCGTACTTTGTGTAATATTAGGTTGTAATTTTACATTCGTGTCCCACACGTAATATTTTCTAATATTTTACACTATTATTTAAAAAAGAAATAGGGACATTTGCATACATACCACATAATTTCTTTGCATTTACATATGTAATACATAAACTTTGCTTTTTTATTTACACCACCCAAGTTTTTCTCATCATATGAAAAGTACCTCCATTTTAACTTTAAAAAGATGAAATTACACCTTTCCATGCATAAATAAGCTGAAATATATTTAAATACAAATACATTGAAACTGAGATGTATGCAATTAAAGCTTCAATATATATATATATATTGCTGATA